GAGCGTGTTTTAATAAAGTTTTGTTATCCGTTCTCAAGACGAGCTTGAGACCTTGATGTAACGTGACGTGCGTCTCAACAGTCCACACTAGGCGTTGGAATGTCGTTTGTCAATGATCGTGTGCCGTGACGTCAGAACGTCGCATTAGTTAGTTGCTTGGACTCATACCATCGCACTACATAATTACAACTTTCGAACGGTTGCCGCTGCGATTTTGGGGGATAAATTCGGTGATTGGGGTAGTGACGTAACGCACCGGGAATGTTTGTACTCAAACTTTGTTTAAGATCGCCATAATTTTCATATTCATTTGGGCCATCCGGCGTTTCGTCGAATCGATTACCTACAAGTCGTGTTTAATTCGATTATGACTGAGTTGTACCAATGTATCAGCGACTTGGAATGCGAGAGGAAATCACGTTGACCCCTAACACGCTTCCTTTTTTGGTGTCTGTAATCTTCCTGTCCGTGAACGCGCTTTAAACAATTGCAATACCTATCTACAAGACCATATACGTACTTTACACGTCGTTTCATCCAAACTGATCTTTAGATTTGCAAATAATAATTTGATTGGAACAAAACATTATCTATAACGAAGTCACGATTTGTTTTACGGTCCATTACAAAGTAAGTAGGCTAATGTCTCGGAGAGGATTTTAAACTTTTGGGATTGTTTCGATGACCAAGGAATGTGCATTAAACGGGCCATCCGGATTAAAATATTTCCCTGGCGGTATTTATAGAGCACTAGTAGGTGTGCGTGTCCGCCTGTGGTCGGTCGATACATGTGAGACAGCGTGGCACCGCCACCGACCAGACGTGACCCAACTTTGTCATAATCCCAGGATTTGGTCATTAGACTTTTCTAATACTCACCAGATAGCATGTGAGTAACACGCTCGATTTAGAACGCGGCAACGAATATTTGAGCCAAATACCAGTCGGAGAATGGCGCCTAGACTTGGATAACAAACAATCATCGAAACGGTAATGAGGGTTGCTTTCGATAAATTATTGTTGTTATTCGAATGACAGAATTTGCAATTTGAATAAGTAGTTGTTCGATGACATGATCATTGGGTGAATTGTTTTAGGACTGAGAGACTATTTGCTTTAAGAATTTCTAAAGTCTCGATATTGTGTTTTTGCTGTTGTGTTCACCAATTAATTGTGCATTCATATTATGTATAGCAAAGCATTGGTGCAAGTAAAATGTAATATACTATAGAAGGTATAACATTTTCAAGGTCTTGTTGAGTATGTTCTTTAGAATCCTTTCCTGACAATGCTCAAGCTATAGCAGTGGAGATGGAGACATCTTCAGCAGCTGTGGACCCAAAGCGGGCAGCAACCTTCGCATTTCTATTCTTGGACGATCGTCGAACGTTGGCCTTCTGCCGTGCTATTTTCCAGTGAGACTCGATGCATTCAACTGGGCAAATCGAAAAGCGTTGAAATTTGCTGACGCGGTTTAGAGCTTGGTATTTCAAAGAAGTTACGAATTGTAAGCGCTTCCGAGATATTAGCTTTCCCATTAAGCTAAATACCTACTGGATATTTTTTTTTTATGGTAACTAATGTCAGCAGGTATTTATTTGGTTTTACTCAATTATATACCTGCTGACATTGCTTCTATTACATAGCGTGAAGTTTCAGTTAAATAAAAAGTAGACAGCCGAACTTAAACAAAATAATAATTAAAAAGCAACTTTGTTGTACACCCGTGAGTTCGGTTGGATAACGTTAATGAATCTGAAGCAACGCTCTCGGAGGTTGATCATCGAATCGGCGACCTATTTATTTTCTCTTCTGTCTGTGCTTTTGTACATCAAAAGGCACGTTGAGCCAATGGTTCCGGCTGTTGTCTCAAGTCGGCAGATGTAACCAATATGCGATGAACCCGTTTACTATAATTTGGCCTAATTGATCATTCTGTGTTTTCTATTCTTGTGTATTATGCCAATGTTAGTTACTTTTACTCATAACTACGAGCATAATACTTGTATTTCATTAATTGGTATCTAAGTGTATCAAACCTTATTTTATCTTATTGCTCTTTCAAACTTTAGGGGGGGTTGTTGTTTAAATTGAAGCTTTAAACTTCTTAGACAGAATCAAGATTTTATAATTTTCAGAATTCTTAGCAGTTTCACCGTTGAATAATCCGAAATTATACCTATCCAGATTACAAAATACAACTAATAGAAAGGATATTCAACATTTTCTTTCCCAAATTCGTTGCTTTACGTTGGTCAACTTAACTTTTTAGCAAAGTTCTATTTACCTTATGTTTTATATTTGTATGAGACAAGTAATATTTCTTATCTATCTTTGCTGTGCTCACTACTTCTAATCCAAATGATATTTCAATTCAAAACAAGAGACAGTAGATATTTATTTTTAAATTTCACAGCGAATATTCGAAACCAAACCTGTGATACTATACTACATAACATAGAAATCTATTATAAAAGTGCTCAAAAGTGGTTCGGTGACATTTACTCATATTATGGGCACTAATAAAAAATCTGTCACGCTAGTGTATGATTGGACTCCAAAATTTTCAATTGTATGTCTGTGTGGAAGTTTGAGTGTGTGCACCCAGGGATTCCATGACACGGGTCACCGTTTCCGAGAACTCGACTCGTCTTGACGTCCCGCTGACAGGACTGGTTTTGCCGTTTTACCACGGCGAGGCAACATTGTGTCTCCATTCGTCCCGCTCGCTCACAGGCGTTATCTCGTCCCTTCTCACTCATGCCGATGCATTGGATGCGCGCACGCACGCGCCCTCTATCCCCTCACTTCGATAAAAGTGATCGTGTTTTGGAATGGACGCCGCCGCGCTTTCGGTAGCTGTGCGGAAGGAGTAACGAATTTTCCATTGACGATTCACACACCATTTACGCTGGCCAGATATGATTGAGCTTCTGAATTTTGGTAGTAGAATTTCAGTCCATAGTTCTTCATATAAAAATGTATGATGAAGTTATACTGCTTACAAAAAATAGCAAACATTTAGTAGAGTCACTGTAGCACTTGATGATGTAAATAAATATTTCAGATTCTTTTTAAAATATCAAATGAATATAATTGGGAGTTTAGGTATTCTTTTTAAGATTTTTCACAACTCATTTAGATAGGAGAATGGAATTTTGAAATAAGCATGCCCAAAAAATTTATCGATAAATATGAGACTACTAAAGATGTTTGAGTTACTTATACGAAATTGATATTGCTTTATAGAATATTTAGGATTACATTTACATTGACAAGCCTACTGAACCATTATAAGAAAATCTAATAATATAAGATAAAATAAAATGAATAAAAATAAAGATTGTACGAGCCCTTGTCAACTCAGTACATTGAATTGCTATTTCTTGATATCGAAGACAGGAAAACACTTGATAAACTTGACGAAAATATTTATTATTAAACTTGAAAGTAACTGTGTGCACACTGCTTGAGACAAACGCGAACTAACTTGGGCGTGATTATGAAATATATTTAAATGGTAAAATATTGACCTAAACAATTACTTGCGGTTAAAAATGCTTTGCTAGCAAAATGTACAATTTGATCGTACAAAGATGTTGAAAACATCGCATGCCACAGAAAACTTAAAGCAATGCAACGGGACAAAATCACGCGAGTCCGAAAACGTCAATTTTAAATCTGACACGTACAAAACTGGACGTAAATATGGCCAATTAACCGGAGAATCTTATTTAATATCCGACTACCGTAAAACGCAATATTAAAATTCGAAAACCGTTAAGTGGGATGCGTATGAGACGCACCGGATTTCGTCACTATATTGGACATGCGTGTCGTTTTGTTGGTAGTTGGTGTTGTGTGTGAATCATGATCGAAACTTTCAAGTGTATCAGGTCCGTGGCGCCACCGAACCACGCCCTAAGCGCCTCAAGCCCGGACAACTATCGATGGCTATTAAAATTTCCTCTACGCTTGTATTATCTACATGCCATGCCTTGAACTCTGATGGAATTGCACCTGTTTTTGTTACAATGTATGTCAATTTAAAATTGCGATCCAATACAGTTATTCTACACCTGTAAGTCCTGTAGGTCAAATTTAATTTTTCAAAAAGTGATTCTTCAGGTGCTAAATATTTTACAATTATTTTTGACTATTATTATAAGTTACAAAATAATAAATAAATAAAATAAAAAATTGAAAATCGTTTATTTTCAGACAGAGTCCATAGATATGTTAGTATGATTGACTTAAATGCTATGTTAGTAACAATATGACAATACAATAAAATAAATTTAACAAATATTGGCATGGAGCCCCATGCAGCGGGGCGGATTCATTCACACATTCACAATAAAGATGTTAATTTAATTGCAGTAATTTCTTTGAACACGTTGCGTAATCCCGTAATGTGATATCGGCTGGCAGTTTACTCATGGCAAGTCACTAGACTTAGAAGCTATATGCTGCTTACCATTAAAGGATTTGATCAATCATTTATTCAGCAAATGATAGGTGTTCGTCTAACTAATCGAACCTTGTGCCGGTATAAGAGTTGAGAATATGGAAAAAAAACTATACGTGTTTAGACACAAGATAAACATGAAATTGGCCTTACTCGACTTGGTTCATACTAAATAACTATTGAAAAATTATTCGGTCGAAAGATTCGAAATAATAACGGACCCTGTTACTTTTATTTTATTTTAATGATAGTAATAGGAGCGGCTTAATAGGCCCCCGTGCTTTCGTGGGAAGAGTACTTGGCTGATGCTTTTTTTTTAATGGGAAATCTTGCTGGTACTGTTTTGCAGTCGATGATGTTGTATTATTTTATATCAGTAAGAAGAGGTATTTTCTAAAATTGCTTTTGAGTTTTTTTGAATTCCTTAGTCAATCTTATAGATTGGATGAAGAGTAACTTATTTATTAGCTATATTAGATATTTATAGCTGTCCCAGTAGACGTCCAGTAATAAAAAATATCTATTGTTTCAGATACACTAAACCTCAGACGTTTGCGGATTGCATTGGCAATGAGCTGCCACTCGGCTGGGAAGAGGCCTACGATCCACAGATTGGACCTTATTACATCAACCATGTCAATCGTAAGTGCTTTGAAAGTTACTCGAGTTATAGTTAAACGTATAGTGATTTCGTCAGCTTGAGCATGAACAAGTGCTTTGTTTCTTTAATTAACCTTTCGTCTGTTTTCAAAATAGCATAAGCTATATTTTATCGCGTCAATGCAATTTTCACAAGGAATTATAAAAGAGATCTTATTTCAAAAGATACGAAGAGTCTCAACCTTGTAGTTCAGCAGAATATCTTTATATGAATAATTATTATGCAACTTTGTGTATCCTATCAAATAGTAGCAAATCTCATATTTTCCATTGGAGATATCTCATCGTTGAACAAAGAACTGTTTGTATCGGTTACAAGTATGTACCCCTTTATTTATATCCTTAAGATGTCCGAGAAATGTGAAAAATGTTCGTGGTAGGGGGTACAGAGTATGTATTGAGACTAGCCATTCTATATGAATTATTGAATGCAGCGGATACGCGTCTGGCATAATATGTGGGATCCATGAATATTTGAAATTGAAGTATGCGTTTTTAGTGCTGAGACGAACTCAATAGATAGTTATTTCTTGGGATAGTCTAAGTTATGATGCGATTAGTGTTCTGGCTTCGGTGATACCTCCGTACTTGGGTTAAATTCATTTGAGAGAAGCTACACTTCCTCATTTGGGAGTAGTGTTCATTTACCATACACGCAAACGTTTCTAAAATTGATGTGGTACTTGGACGCTTTATTAAGAGGGAAAGACTAACGTTGGGAATATTCTGAATTGGAACTTAACGTCGACCCTCTAAAATGCAAGTTGGAAGAAGAAATGTATATGAGAAGATGACGAAATGATTTCTCATTCGATATTTTTTCCAGTCCTATAAGTCTAGACAGCCACACGTTTTCTCAAGGAGGACCTCGACAGTGCAAGTAGTTAGCGCCTTCGGCTGCGATTGTTGAAATTAAGCAACTTTCGCAATGGTCGGTCATTAGATGGGTGATCGAAAAATTACTATCTCGATCTCCGTGCTTCGGAAGGCACGTTAAGCCGTTGGTCCCGGTTGCATATACAGTCTTTAGTACCCACCAATCCGCATTGAGCTCGCGGGTTACGGCCAATCTCCCTATTCCATCCATAGGGAAGGCCTGTGCCCCAGCAGTGGGCACATTAATAGACTGATGATGGCGATGATATGTTTTCGCATCTACAAAATAATTTGTTGATTTTTTTATATGCTCAGCAATTCCATGAATCGTATTAAGTAAATAAAAAAAACCAGACAAAATAGAAGAGAAAAAAGAAATAACTTATAACTTGAAGGTGTCACAATAGGAATAAAAAATAGTATTAGTAGTCCCCGAAAGATATTCGTGCAATAAAATGAAAATATAAAGCACATTAAAGAAGATAGTATATGCACGGAGACGATAATTATATCTTCACATAAGTCATTTCCAGCTTTATTACGAAATTTTATAAAGCAAATGTGCAATAACACATGTTCGAAAATGTTCTTCGTTAATAAATTTTAATTTAATCCAGACATTCAAGCACCCTTATTTATAGATCTGTTTCCAGGGTTCCCATAATGTAGTCAGTATATGCGTCTGCCTAGTTTGTATGCGAGGTGGTACATCTCGCATCTCGCAGTACATACATAAGTTTTATTCAATCACACCACTACCTTTACATTGCCTGATATTATTGGTAACTTTGCACAACATTTTCCTTTAAAAAAATTACCTGCTTTACCACCTAAGTACATATTAACCGCAATTTGTATGTTCTATTAATGTTTCGAAAATACGATCTGTGTCATTTTCTTACTCAATAATCCTGCTTTACAGATAACCTATAGATTCAATGTCAGAATATAAGTATATTGTTTTATCTAATTCCCAAAGAGACAAAATATCCGAATTAATTTAACACGTCGTCACTCCTATTTAAGATTAATAATCTTGCTTTTACAAAGAGCAATGTTCTCATAAATTGCAAATGCGCAGTAGCTGTAGGCTGTTAAGGCTGTTATGGATGTAAGTCATTTATTAAATTTGTTATCGACTACGCTACTTTAGTAGGACCTCCGTAGCCGTGAGGCTCTGGATACTATTCCCGGAATGTAGAAAATTAACTTTCTTGGTCTTGATTCCGATTACTTAATTTTATTATACTGTCATTGTTTTGAATTTCTATAAATTTTGAGCAAGAAGCTCTATATCTAAGAGGCTTATGGGTGTAATTTTTTTCTAAAAGTTACAGTTATGTATAAGCATACCGTCATAATAAGTCTTAGATTTTGGGATTAAATGAAAAAAAAGAACTTGTTTTCACCCTCGCAAATATGTCTCGAAGAGGAAAAGGCGTAAGTAGTTTTAATTGTAATAAAAAGTAAAACATTTTAACATTAAAATGCATGAAGTCTAATATCGTCCTGCTCGAAAAAGTATAGGTATATTTTAGTGTATGTTCGCAATCATGGAGAGAGAGAGAGATCTGGTTTTTAATGGAACCTGTTTGACATAACAGACTAATAAGATGTATGTAATAAAAATTCTTCGATAGTGCACGACTGGCGGCTGCCATCCCTAAAATGTTTTTCCTATTCAGGAGTATGCAAATGTAGTACGTACTTCTCCATGTACTCATTTATAGGACCTGTCTTTTGCGTGTTTTACTTTTGTAGATGCTGGGATAGTGTGGTACGAACATTATCGTCACTTATCTTGTTCCACGACGCTAATTAGTAATTAAAATAATAAATTCGATATAAACCGTCGTTTGGCGTATAAATGATCAGCCCTGTAGGCTGTAAATAACAGACTGCGATCTTCCAGCAAGCATGCAACTTTGTTGCGAATTTGCGATGGAATATGGGAGTAACCTTTCTACATAACTGTAACCCTATGTGGTTTTTTGACCTTCTCAAGAATTCAAAGACTTTCAAAGCGGGATATGCTTTTATATTAAAAACTCATCAGTCTGATGAATTCGGTAATAAACAACTGTCGATTCCTAGTCTTTGGACGTCCGTGAATTATAAAAAATACTATGGTTAGGAGAAAATCTTTAATAGAGGTATTTTTCAAGACATTTTATAAATCAGTCATAAAATATACGGTGTTCAATAATATCTTTTTTGATTTCATTGGAATTTCATGAACTCTTGATGACTCTTAGATAACTCCACCGATTCTTGCGGAGGTACCATTTTTAGGTAGAAGTCTCCTTATTTGGGTTTCGCTTAATGGTCTATACTAATTTTATTAGGCTCATCAAACAGGATAATATCGCATCTGGTAATTTCTCCAAAAGCCAGTTCTTATACGCCCACATTTATTAAAGATTTAAATATTTAAAATGACAAATGGCGAACTGATCGTGTCTCTTTTATTATTTATAAACACCTACGAAGTTATACTAAGTATACATCTAAAAATACCTATCACGTGAAAGCTTTTCTATACTATACACCTACATACTGATGACCTCCGTGGCCGAGTGGTTTGTACGCCGGGTTTCAAGGTGTCGCCTAGTCGAGAGGTCCCGGGTTCGATTCCCGGTGGGGGCAGATGTTTGTGTGATGAATACGGGCATTTGAACTTCAGTCATGGATGTTTAATATGTATTTCTATATAAATATACTTATATATGTACTATATATGTATTCCATCCGTTACCCTAGTATCCCATAACACAAGCCTTACAGTGCTTACTTTGGAGCTAGGCTAATTGGTGTGAGTGTTGGAAATATTTACATATAAGAAAGGCACGTTATCAGTGAATGTCATAGTCATATATAATTAACCAAATGAATGAAAAATTAAAAGACTAACGCGAGCGGCCGCTGTGTGCCATAACTGCGTTATGTTTTCCAGTCTTGTAGGTATACACATTTACCTTTCATGTTGAATCTAAGTGACAGTTGACGAGAAAATATCAGCCATGATTGTGATTTACAATAAAATAATGTAGGTGCATAGTTTATTTATGAATATTATATATCGCTTTCCCGCGGACGTCTGAGGAGTTCAGACGCATATTTTGTGTATCCATACGTTTTTTAAAATCAAATTAAATAAGTTACAACTATAAAATAAAACAAAATAAGAGAAGTGCAGTAAGTGATGGCGTTGGAGAAGAGGTGGCGTTGTATCACGAACGCAACAGCCGTACGCTACGCAAATGCTACATATATGTGTGAGTGTTTTTACTACAACAGTCCACAGGGATTCATTAAATATAACATGCCTTTTTTGTGATCCAAATAAACATATTTTTGTATTAATGTATAATCGCCACCACGGCGAGTGTTCTGAGGAGTTATTCTCTCTTATTCCACCTTCCCCTTTCCTTCAGAGGACCACGCGCGCTGGTTTACGTTGTCACCGTCTAACTGTGGCTACAATTCCAACGCGTACAAAGAAATTTGGTGACTCATTTCTTTGTCGTACTATCCGTAAATGTCGTACTCCCTCTTACAACCTGGGATCCTTTAAAAGAGGCGTGAAGAAGCAACATGCATGAAGTAGAACTGCTGTATCAGCTATCTTCGCGTCTGGACTTCACCTCCACTTAACATCAGGTGGGTGGAGTCATTTGACGGAACTATCTATAAAATATATATATATATTATTGAGTTTTTCATAGTTAATGTTAACAATTAAATAATACTCAATGCCGTTTCTTAAACCTTCAAAATTTACAGCTGTCATTAGTAGCCGCCAAATTTAAAACGCTTCCAATTTTACCCATTGTGGCTAGCAATTTTGATAGACAAAATTAAAAAGTGGATTTGATATATGTAACTGTTGAATTTATTGTGTTATGTTGTGATTGTCCCCTCAAATATTTTGGAGTAGCATGTCGTTTCTGCAACATTCGAGTGGAATGCAAATTATCTTCTGCTAGTAAGTATATTTTTTGATCGATTCTCTTCCTTATAACACAAACTATATTTATGCAAATTTTGACATTTTAACAAAGTAAAGCGATTTTTACATATTATTTACTTGCTCGTTCACATTACGG